TGGCGACAGTAAGCATGTATGGTGACTGTAAGCACGTATGGTGACTGTAAGCACGTATGGTGACTGTAAGCACGTATGGTGACAGTAAGTGGAGGGCCGAGGACAACTTGTGGGTCAGTTCCCTTTTTCCATTACGTGGGTCCTAGGGACTGAACTCAAGTCACCAGCCTTGGCAGCAGGTGTCCTAACCCACTGTGCTATCTCATTGTTCTTAGGTTTCTTCCTTCCCCACTCCCCTTCCTACCTCCTCTCCTCTCCTCTCCTCTCCTCTCCTCTCCTCTCCTCTCCTCTCCTCTCCTCTCCTCTCCTCTCCTCTCCTCTCCTCCCCTCCCCTCCCCTCCCCTCTCCTCCCCTCCCCTCCCCTCTCCTCCCTTCCCCTCCCCTCCCCTCCCTTCTCCTCTCCTATCCTTTCTGTCTACTTGGTTACATGGTTTGACTTATTTTGTTGTTGTTGTTTTGGTCAAAAGAATGGATCTAGAGGAAGGAAGGAAGGAAGGAAGGAAGGAAGGAAGGAAGGAAGGAAGGAAGGAAGGAAGGAAGGAAGGAATAGGAATGGGCTCTGATCTGTGTCAGGCTCTGGGTAGAGAAATAATATTCTAAACCACCTAAAATATAAGGTCGGGTCAGGCATGGTGGCGCATGCCTTTAATCTCAGCACTTGGGAGGCAGAAGCAGTGGATCTCTCAGGTTTGGGGCTAGCCTGATCTACATAGAGAGTTCTAGGCTAGCCAAGGCTACATAGTAAGATAAGACCCTGTCTGAAACCAAACCATGCTAATCCTAACTCAAGCCCCCAACCTTATTAAGTTGTAATTTATAGACAACAAAAAGAGCTCATGTTTGGTTCTACCCATGGAGTTTTGGCAACTTGGAGAAACTTCCAGCTGAGACACGCATTACTACTGCCTCGGAGGATTCTTTGGTGGCTGCACCCCCCCTCCCCACCACCCCTCCCCTAGATTGTGTGCTGTGATTCAGTTTAGGCAAACTTCAGAGGCTTGCAAACTGCGTCCAGTGCCCTTCGACTCAGGCTTCTTGGGGGTGGGGTGGGGGAAGGGGAAAGCACACTTCTTCGTTGTGGTTTTGAGGCTTATCCCGTTTGCTTGTTGCATAGTGGTGCCTTTAGGGGGACAGGTGTTTCTGGTTTGGGACGAACAGGATTCTGGTAAACTGGTGAGGGGCCCCAGGCTGTGCCCGTCTCTGCTGAGTAATGAAGCCTGATTTGCTAACTGTCTTCTGGTGTGAGCATTTGTGTAGCTTCAGCAGTTCATTAAAAAAACCCATAATTTCTATTGATTCTTTGGAGATGCCACACCATGAACCCCAATCCTGCTCATTTCCCAGTCATATCCTTGCCTCACCCCTGTAAGATCCCCCCAAAAGAACATTTTAAAAAAGGCAATTTCAAAACAAAACAAAAACCCATTTCACTCCTCCATCTGTCCTGCCTCTCCAACGCCTCTTCATTGTCTTAGTGGCACTGGGAACTGCGGTGTGTCATGTAATATACACTTTCCTCCACTCAGCTTTAACTGCAAATGAGTTTATTGCCATGAGTTGCTGGTCTGGTTCAAGACCTCTGGCTTCTGGCACACCATCAATACTGGACCCTCACCAAAACTCCTCTCAGATACCCTGCTGTGGCACTGAGTCTTAGAGATTCTGCAACTATGGTTCTGCAGGACCAGTCCCTTCACACATTCTGGCAGGTTAGAGATGGGGTAGATGTTGGGGTTGGCCAACTCAAAGCCCTGGGTGTGGGTCTGGGTGGTTGCTGATTTGGTGAGTCTGTGCTGCTGGGACCATCCCCTCAGGCAAGGGGCAGAGCCACCTCTTCTATACCCAAGCCATGGGTACCAGCTCTCCCACACTCATGGGAAGGAGTGGGGCTGTAGGGGAAAAGGGCCAGCCAAAGAAACACCCTGAGCAGAGCCAAAGAAGCACACTGTAGCCCTGAAACCAGAACCAAAGAAATGCACCCTGACCCTGAAACCAGTGCCAAAGAAACACACTTTGTCCCTGGAATCAGAGCCAGTGAAAGAAACACACTCTGGCCCTAAAATTGGAGCCAAAAGGCAAAAAAGGACCAGAGAAAGAAACACACTTTGGCCCTGAAACCAGAGCTAAATCTTACCCTAAACCTGTGCAGAAAACTAACCAATCCCTGAGCAGGAGCTCTAGCCAATCAGAGTTTAGGCATTGAAATCTGACCAATCCCCACCCTGAAAATCTCCCTGGAAAAACTCCGCCCCCTAAGAATCTCTATATAAGCCCTGTGCCTGTTCAGCTTCTGGCTGCCTTGCTGTCCGGCTGCCTCCTTCCATCCTGGCAGAGGTAGCCACTCTCTGGGATTCTTCCCTCCCAATAAATCTCTTGAATGAGGTTTGGGTGAGACCTTCTTTTGCTGGAGCGGAGATGACCCTAGGCGGAGTGGAGCAGAGCAGAGCATGGCTGTAATACTTTCACAGGAGAAACCTTACCCTGGCAGAGAGGAGGAGTTACACTCTGCTCTCCTAGGCAGGGCTTTAAGCTGCTATGTTTACTGTGATCTGTGCTATTACTTGGCTCCAGAATGCCAGAATACCTTTCCATCCAAGCTGTAACACTCGTAACAATCAGTATTCCATGACTCCCGAGTGCCAGAATCTCTGTCCATCCAAGTCATTGAAAGGCTTCCAGGGGCCATTTCTGAGTGTGGGGCCAGATCTCCCATGAGGGGTAGGACCAGCTCTTCTGCTTGCAGAGGCCAGCAAGGGGGCAGGAGAGGCTCTCTCAGGGCCAGCAAAGGGTAGTGCTGGCTTGGATTTCAACATGCATGGTTCCTATGGTCCCCTGTGGTAACATGGGTCCTGGAGATCAACACAGACCCTAACTGCTGCAGGACCACAGTGGCTGGTCCTTGGCTGTAGATCAGGCCTGGATGTCCCCATGGCCCCAGGTGGCAGGCCAGGCCACTCAGATCTCTATGGCCCCAGCTGCAGCATGACCTTCAGACACCAATAAGGCCCCAGGTGGCAGCCCAGACCCCAGGCAACCATACAGTTCTCAGTGGTAACAGGAACCACAGACATCAGCTTGGACCCTGGCTGCTGTAGGGCCATGGACCAAGACACAGCCCTTGGCTGCGGCTAGGGCGGGAATGACACCATGGCCCCAGGTGGCAGCACAGGCCACCCAGATCAGTATGGCACAGCTGCGGCATGGCTCTTGGATACCAACATGACCTCAGGTGGTGGGTCAGACACTGGGTATCTGTACAGCCTTCGATGATAACGGGAGCAACAGACTTCAGTGCAGGCCCTGGCTGTGGTAGGTTCACAGACCCGGACATGGCCCTCAGCTGATGCCTGGGCCCAGATGTCACTATGGCATCAGGAGGCAGCACAGGCCACCCAGATCAGTATGGCTCCTGTAGCAGCAAAGCCCTCAGACACCAACATAGCCACAGGTGGCATCCCAGATCCTGGGCATCCCTGTGGCCTTTGATTGCAACATGAGCACAGACGTCAACACAGGCCCTGGCTGGGATAGGACCATGGACCAGGAAATGGTCCTAGGCAGCCACCCAGGCCTGGGCGTCGCCATGGCCCCAGGTGGCAGCAGCTCACCCACACCAGCCTGTTCCCCACCACACTTGCTCCGCCTCTCAACAGAGCACATGAAGCTCCCCACTTCTCTCTACCATTTCTCCACCACATATCACAGTGGTGCCTCCCCTCCTGGTGCTGCAGGGGGCTGGGCAGGCCTGTGGATGTCTTCAGAAAGCCCAGGCCATGAGGACCCAGGCAGGCCTGTGGATCCAATACTCTTTTTTTTTAAGTTAACAATTTGATGAACATCTACTTGAAGGTTATTGACCTCTGCAAGGATCTCTAAGGCTGTACTAACCCTCTTGCTAAGGGCTGCTGCATCTCTTGCCTGGGTCTGACTCAGCCAGGTGTCTGGGCACCTTGTCTCTGGTTAGGTGTGAAGGTCTCCTTCCCTCTGCTTACCCTGTGCCTAGCACAGCACTGGGCACCACAACATCTGGAAGTCCCTTGCTGACTGTTCCTCTCTGGGAGCGTGCCCACAAGGGTGGAGGCATAGCGCTTGGCTGGGTCTCTCAGTTTCCTATAGCCCAGCTCTATAGCTCCTACCCAGAGATGCTCCCCACAGGTTGGTACTACTGAGCAAAGGCCTCAGCTGGGCCCATTCAGAGGAGGTGGTGGAGGGGCAAGCGCTCCCAGGATATGAGACCCCTATGGCTGGAAGGTAACTGCTCTGGGGACTTGTGGTGCCAGAAGGCAGATGCCACACAAGGCTCGAGTGGGTGGAGAGGAGCCTGGGAATCCAGCTGGAGACAGATCCCCACATGGAAACACCTCTTCCTGCCTCCTGCACTGGCCTCCCCAGGGCACTAGATCTCAACAATCCTTCCACGTGGGGCTCCACCCTGCCCAGAGGAGGGGCTCTTCCAGTTGCCCAGGAGCTACTTGCCACAATGCAAGTCTCAGGTGGTCACAAATGCCTTTGTAGACTCTTGGAGCGCCTTGCGTCTCATCTATAAGGTGGATGTGACCTGGAAGCCTCACCTGTATCTGGAGGAAGGGTAGGGTGTGACTCCTTCCCAGACTTCACCAAGGTCCTTCCAGACCAGACTGACAACCTCTAAGTGCCTGGGGAACTGGCAGAGTTGCATTCCCGCGCCGTGACGTTGGGGCTAAGGTCTCCAGCACCTCGAGGGGAGGTAAGGAGATAAGGAGTGAAACCTTGGTGGTGGGGAAGGAGGTTCACCCGATACTTGCTCTCCCAGGGGCCGTCGACAATCCTCTTACAAAGGAGGAGCAGGTACAGGGTCTCTGTCCAGGGCCATGGTGGGGTACCTTGCGGCCTCTCTGGCCTGTGACTCTAGCCAGTAAGGTAGACAGAGGGAAAGTGGTGTGTGGGAAGATGAGGTCCAACCCCTTCCCCTCCCCCTTCCCACCCACAGATGGGCCGCCCGGGACCCCCAGAGGAGAAGGTCTCCAACACCCAGCTGTCCGGAGCTCCTGATGCCCCCGGAGATGCTCCTGGTGATGATATCCACGGCACAGAGGACTCAGACTTGGTGCCGTCTGTCACCCTGGCTGCAACCCTCATCCTAGTCTTCCTTCTAATGTCATTCTGGCTGGCTTGGTCACCCTGCCAAGTCTCCTGCTAAGCGGGCTCCTGAGCGGAGGGCAGCAGGACAGTTGGGTTTCTAGCCCCACTCTGGGTCAATGACACTCAGTGCTGTGGGAAATCGTTGCAGGACGCGCCTCTGGGACACTACAGCTTGGACTCCTTCCTATGTTTGGGCAGCTCATGCTCACCTGGTCCACTTCTCTTGATGACTGTCTTTAACCATGTCTCCCATCGTTGTGAAGCCATGCCGGGGACTGCAGATAAAACTGAATGACTTCAGTTGCTTGTGTCAGTGAGTGGGGATAATTGTGTGGTCAACTCGTCCACTCTGGGGCCTCAGTTTCCCTTGTCTTCAAGGTAGGATGGCAGTGCCTGCTTCTGGGTACTTTGAGGAAGATGCCTCGTGGAAAGGCCTTCTGTAGTCCTCTCTGATATATACCTGATATATACTCCCCCCAGTAGGCCAGCCTCTGATTCTACAGCACTCACCCAGAAGATAGACATAGGAGCGGCCTCCAAAAGATGTACTGGTCTCCGCTGCCATCTGGTGGTAGAAGGTACAATTGCACCCACATAGAGGTTCCCTTTGGGGGTGCTCCAGGGACGAGTAAACAATTGTTTGTTTTTTGAGATGTGAAATTTTGAGATTTTGTGTGAGCACAGATCCCATTAGACAGTGGGAACCGCTTTGACATTAGCTATTGGTGTCCGTTCCCTGTCTCTCTGTTTCTGTGATGGTTCTAAAAGCCACTGGAGAAGAGGCAATTCTCCCGGCATAAGGTCTGTATGGATGGAATGACTGGTGGCTTTTTTCTCGGAACACTGTGCTCCTGACTTACGCAGCCTGAGTTCCAGGGGGCCTTCCTCTCGGGCCTCACCAACAGGCAGGGTTCTGTCGGTTGGGTCTGCGAGGTCAAGATCATGGAACAAACCGACAAGAGCCCTGCAGGCATCCACAGCCCCCCCGGGATCTCAGCTTTGCCAAGCCTGGAGGAAGGGTTTACCGAAGCTTGCAGAGAATACACGTTCTGCCGGTTGGGTCTGTGAGGGCAAGACTGTGGGACAAACCTGCAAGTACCCCCAGGCATCCACAGGCCACAGGATCTCAGCTTTGCCAAGCCTGGAGGAAAGGGTTTACCAAAGCTTGCCTAGAATACACTGGGTAATCCCGGGCTACTACAGCTTGGCTGGTGGCCAGAGGTTGGTAGGAAGCTCTGCAGTGTGAAGGCTTGTCTCTAGGAAGGGGAAGTCAGAGACTTATTCTTGTTCTCCAAATGCTGGCGTTCCTTCCAGGAACTCAGGGTCCATCATTGGGGATTCAAAGAAACAGGAGGGGAGGGGGACTGGTGGCAGGGAGGCCTTGAGCTGTGGTTTCTGAACTATTCTTTGCCCCTGTCAGGGTCCCAGTATAGGGCGATGCTCCTTCCTGGGAACACAAAGCACATGACTGTGAGCCCCACTGGGGACAAACTCCTCTGATACGGCACGACAACAGTCTTGGGCCAACACTTGGGTCCTGCCTGCCTGGGCAAGGTGAGCCATGGACGGGGGCTTTAGGAGGCCTCTGAGAGTTTTGGAGGGGTGGCGGGGTTGTCCTCGAAGCAACAGAGACAGACACTTCAGGTGAGAGACTGAGGGGAAATGTGGAAACTGGGTCATGCCTTTCCGCTAGTGGGATAAGAGGTGGCATGGGAGCAGGGAAAGAGGGAAGGGGACTCCCAAGGGGCCGCGTGGGACTGCCCTTCACCGTGAGAAGTACCAGAACCTCAAGCATGGCTCCCAAAGCCGCTGGCCATCCCTTCACTAGCCCCTGTCACTGCTGGAGAGGAGAAGCTACAGCAAGACACCTGGACCTCCCTGTTCTTGGGCTTCTAATCTTGTCCCCTTGGGTGCAGCTGGTTTGATAGCAGCCCTGATCCCTTCAGACCTTAACTCAGGCTGTCTCTTTCTGTCAGGTGCGATTCCAATTCCCTCATCTCTCTTGATACCGCCCACCAGATGCAGAACCAGAACACAAGCACGCCTTTTCTCTTGATGGCTGAGATCACTGTTGCAAACGTCAGTCAGGTGTGCCAGCGTCCTCCTGGAAGTCATGAAGACTGCTGGCTCAGAAGAGCTGAGCAATGGACAAAAGCTCCCCCAGGCCTGTTTGCATGAAGTCCAGGCTCTGCCCAAGGTCCCAGTGCCAACGAGCTACCCAGGCAGGCCTGGGCATGTGCATGCATCGTTGAATGGGAGTCATGAAAATGTCCTGTGGTTTCCATGTTTCCTGTGGCCAGCTAGCTCCATCTGGCCCCATTCCTGAATTCTCACATGTCCAGGCCATCACCACAGGTACCTGGGGAGAGTGCAGGCCAGGAAGCAATTGCATCTGCAAGGAAAATATTGTTTTGTGTAATTCAGTGGCCCCTTCTATAAACATTGTGGTTCTGCCTCGGGATTTTTCCTGCCTGTCTCCTGCCTTCCACTTTTCCAGGGAGCACCAGGCAGCCAGATGCCTGAGGTTAGGAAAATATGTACTTTGGTGGGTTGGCTATTTTAAGGTGTGACAGGATGGGCTTGGGGACTTTATCAGGTGTGTCAGAGAGTCCAGGAGTGGGTCTGATTGGAGTCTTCCTCCAGAGGCTAGCAGAGAAACAGTGTGTAGACACACATGTGCATACGAGTGTGTGTGAATGCACACGTGTATTTCTGGGTGCTTGAGGACATGCATGTGTGAGTATGCATGTGTCCATGTAATGGTGGCAGCAGGGGTGGGTGGCATAGGGTGAGGGGTGGGGTAGGTGAGGTGCTGGGTATGGAGAGAAACTGATACTGTCTACCAGCCCAGGTCAAACACAGTAAACGTTTACAGGGAGGGTTCAAGGGGCTCACAGAGAGACAAGGTCAGTGCCTCCATGGGGCAGAGATGGCCTTCTGTTGTTCAGGAGAGTAGCGGGAGGCAGGAAGACACTTAACAATGCTGTGGCTTTTTCCAGTGATGAAGTGGAGGCTGGGTTCTTGGGCAGGGTTGGCTCTAGGCCTTTAATGGAAGCATCCTGGAATTTTCTATCTGATAGACTGGGACTGTCAACTTCCTTCTCACTTGGGATAAAGGGCTTGGACACTGTTGAAACGTTTAAATCCCCCAGTAGTAATTCCACCACCGATATAATAAGTCAGATCAGGCCAAATGAGTAAATTCAAGTTTAATCTGAGCAGAGCAAAGCAACTCCTAGGTGACCCTTGGGGAGGCAAGGGAGGAATCACATGGCAAATATGGCTACCAGGTCTTATGTAGCCTGTGGGTGTGGTCTTCAGGAGTCCCAAGGCGGGGCTGACTTGTAGTGGGCTTTCTCAGGGACTGGGTTTGGAATGGGGGGGAGTGAGACCAGTGGGTGGAATGGGGCCCCTAGCTGGAGATCCTCAACATCCCAACCCTTTGGGGTAAAAACGGACGGCGGTAGGACTTTCACCCAAACATCCCAGACTTCTTGAGTATAGGATGCCAGGGGTTGAGGTGGAGCTGCCACCAGAACAGCTGTAAGGTGCGTGAGGTGTGCCGGTAACCCTTCCTCACCGTGTGTGCTCCCAGAGGGAGCCGCGGGGTCAGTGTCTCCAGAGGCAGGCAGAAGTGGCTCAGGACGGTCTGACTCTGCTACTGCCTGGCTGCCCTGGAACTCACTCTGCAGACCAGGCTGGCCTTGAACTCAGAGATCCACCTGCTTCTGCCTCCCAAGTGCTGGGATTAAAAGCGTGAGCCACCACCCGGCTGCAGCCACTTTTCTTGCTCAAGAATAGCATGACATTTTTTTGGATGGCTGGATACTTCCTGGCCGGAAGTGGACTAAGCAACACACCCACTGCCCTGCTCTGCCTCCCTCCCTGAGTGTTCAGCCTGTCTCCTGCTGCCCTGCCCAGCCAGTGTCAGGGTCAGGCCAAGACCCCTCTGGCTCCTTGTTCAGACTGAGGCCAGATGGAGCCTCTGGGGCCACAGGTGGCCTGGGATACTTCCTTTGAGTTATTTTTGGCTGGAGCTGGCCAGTGAACTCCTAGCCAAAAGCAATTACTAAATTTTCATCTTGTTTTGCGGACAGTTTAGATTATGCCAAAAAATGTTCTGCCTGGAGGCCCAAGGGCACTTCAGGGGAGCAGAGGTGGGCGTGCTACCTCCTGGAAGGGACCTCGTGTGTTTGATGAGATGGAGATGGCCAGGGCGGCTGAGGTCTGTTTATAACTGTGACGTGACCAGCCTGCCTAATCTGCCCCCACCCTCTTCCTCTCCTGTGTCCTGTACCAGCCAGCAGGGGGCGTCGCCTCCCACCCACTGCAGAGGAACCTGGGGTGCCCAGGGTTTAGCTACACTCCTGGAAGCTGGTGCCAGGCTCTGCTCTAGGAGCTATGAGTAGTATTGACCCTGCCGAGGGCAAGCTAAGTGGACCTGGGGAACTCCAGAACTCAGGTAGAATGTGCATCAGGCTGCTTCCTTACCCAGGACCCAGGCAGGTTCTGCCCCGGCAGCTTCCCCTTACCAGCAGACGGAGATGGCAGACGGACAGACGTATCCTTCCAAGTGTCTACCCTCTTGGATCCCACTGCCTACTTACACGTTTGAAAGCTGCTGAGGATAGATGTGGGGGTGAATTCCATGGTCTGAAAGCACATCCTAGCTGGCTAGTGTTGGGAAGGAGGCTGCCCTAGGGGCTCATGCTATTCCACAGGGACCCATTAGTGAGCATCCTTAACTCCCGGAACCCGGGTTCTGGGAGGCTGGGGACTGTGAGCTGACACACTGGGGGAGTGGTAACCCTGAAGTTGGCACTGGGACCTAGTGCTTAGCATCAGCGGCCCCACCAGGCTGGTCCAGGTCCTGGGTAGCCTAGGTTGCAGTGCACACACTGATGTGCATTCCCTGCGTCCGGCCTCATGGGTGCACTCCACACTGGCGCCCCTTTCCACCCGATCTCCTTGCCCCTTTCTGTCTCCTCTGTCCAGCCACAGACCTCACTGTGAGCAGTGTCAGGGGATTAGAAAGCTGGGAATCTTGCCTTCACGATGAAGGCCAGCCCAGCCTTGCATTTACCAGGCCAGCGGTCCTGCGTACACAGCTGCCTGGCATTCTCCCTTCAGCCACAGTCTTCCAGGATGCTGTGTGGGTGGTGCCCATATGAACATACTTTCCCAGTATCAAAGATGGCCTAGCCACACAAATCCAGCCTGCCCCCATGGAGTTGCTGCCTGGCTTTCTCTGTTTTCTTGAGTCCCCTTCATCTAGATATAGAGTGAGACAAAAATCACAGGCTACCGTGTACTGGCAAGGAAGAGCCTTGCCCACCAAGGAGGTCCTAGTGAGCAGGGGCCGGGGAGTTGTATGCATGGGTATGCAATGCCTATTCCCCATGGCGGTGTAACAGAAGGAACCGTGGCCAGCAGGGGGCGCCTCTGTGTTGGACCTGGAGCTCTGCTGCTGGCTGATCACAGGGCCCACTGAGATGTGTTGCTCCCCGGGCTGAGCTGCATTGCTGAGCACCCAGGCGGGAGGGTCCTGTCTCTTCTGCACCTGTCTCTTGCTTCTCTCTTCTCTCTAGGTAATACTATGGGTCCCTCTCCATACTGTCTCTTCCAGGCCAGGTCCTTGTCCCTCCTGTTTAGAAGTCTAAACATGTCTACATTTAACCTAGGGGCTAGGTCACAGAATGGCTACATGGGGTGGCCTGCAGCTCAGCGGTACTCCGGCTTGAAAATCCATCCCAGCTGTACTTGGAATGTGGGGCTCATGTAAAGGACACCCTGTCTCCTGGATCTAGATGTAGAAAACCCCACACACTTGTCTGGGTAACTGATACTCCAGGACTTGTAGGTTCTCAGATGAAGGCTAGCCCCACACCAAGTAGCCTTTTAGAAATGCAGGAGGCACTCTTTTGGGTAGCTAGGGTCCCCAACTCCGAGATCCAGCGCTCCATTTAGTCTGTGTTTGCTCGCATCGCGGCTCAGGGCTGGCATCTGCAGCTCTCCTCCCCCATTCCATCCTCAAAGCTGGCTGGCCTGGTGCAGACTCGATGACCTGGAACCAGTTCCTGGCCTCTGGGAAGCCCAGCTGCAGCTGACTTGGCCTTCCCCCCAGCGGGAGCTGAAACCCTTGACTCCTCCAGTCACTGGCCCTGGCCGGGCAGCAGCCAAGCCTCCGGGAAGGATTCCTGGGGGGAGGGGAGGGCGGTGGCAGCAGGCTGGCCACTGCACAGGGCGTGCATCCCTGCAAGACAGGCCCTCTCCTGGGAACTCCTGTCTGCCCATCTTGCTCTGGCTGACCGGGTGTCTGGGAGGGGACCGATGTAAAGCAAGCACTCATGGGAGATCACACCGCAGGGACACAGGGAGTTTTAGAGACCCTGCTGGAACATGTGTGCACCAGGAAGCCTGTGGTGGTCAGAACAAATGGCATGGGCTAAGGTCACTTTCCACTGACCTTGGGCACAACACCTAACTTCCCTCGGCTGTGGAGTTGGGGTGGCGGCTCCACCCACCAGGATGGGCCATCTCAGGAGTTAGATGGGTCGTTTCCTGCAGTGGATTGGGAACAGCAGTGACCAAAGAGACGGACACCAGGGCCAGCAGGCTGCTGCGATGGTCTTCTGTTTACCGGTGTGCCTGTAGTTTTCTGTCACGTTTGGGTGACTGAGCAAGTTTCTGAACTCACCCTGAATCATCACGGACTGCATTGCCCGTGAGTTGAAAGGGGGTAGACCTTGAGACCTGAATGACAGAGCAGGGCAAGCTGCCTGTCCTGTTTACTTTTTTGTGGACTTGAAACAAAGCTAGGCATACCAGGGAAGAAGGAACCTCAACTGAAGAGTTGCCCCCAGCAGATTGACTTGTGTGCATGTCTGTGGGCATTTTTTTGATGTCTGAGACACAGGAGGGCCCAGTCTATTGTGGGCCAGGGCTTTTGATCATAGTGTTTGACCCAGAAATAGGAACCAGTGAGCATTCTGCCTCTAGGAGGCATCCAGGCTTGAGTGGGCCAGCAGAGAGCTGCAGGGGATTTCCTGAGCAGGGATCAGGAGTGGATAGTGGATGGGTGTTCGAGGTGTCCTGGTGGCATGGGTAGGAGGGCAGCTTCCTCAAGGCCTGGTTCCCAAGCAGAAGAAGGCTGGGCATTGTGGAACGGGATTCGGGGACAGCTTGACCACTTTCTCACTTTCTTCAGTTCCCACTGCGAGACTTCTAGCTACTTCCAAGCCCTCCCTAGCTACGCCCCCACCCCCACCCCCACCCCCAGCCACTCTGGGAGAATGCCAGCACCTGACCCTGCCTCACAGTCAGCCCCAGTTTGGGAAGGCCTCAGAGAAAAGCATGCACGTTCCTCTGGTTGAGATAGAACTGTCCTCCCACCACAGGCTGGGGGGGACTGCTTTGTCAAACTGGGATAGGGCCAGGCAAGACTGAGGACACGCCGTCCCT